GTGCGGCTCATTGCATGGAGTCCAATAGAGACTAAGTACAGAAATGCAGACTTCTCAGCCTGCATCCGTGCGGCTCATTGCATGGAGTCCAATAGAGACTAAGTACTTGGACACCAAGATGACCAAATGCATGTTGACAATGAAGCCTGATGGACTCACGACAGTCGAAATCCGAAAAATCTGCAGAGTCTGAAGATCCTGCAGTGTCCAGAAGAGTCTGAAAGTCTGATAACACACCATAATAAACATGCCAGAAGGACAAAAGAAGCGCAAGAAAAAAGAAATGAAAAGAAAATACTCGTCGATGTGGTCATGGATATAAGAGAATAGTAAAATAGTTAAAAATACTCGTAAAGCACATAGGTGGGAAACACTGTGACAGTATGCTCACAGTAGGCCCTTCTAATCGCAGAATCGCAAAATCAGCAGCCAAAAAAGAAGAAAATGAAGATGAATGAGAAGAAAACTTCTCATAAACACAGTGACCGCATGATTGCCAAAACGAGAAAAACAAAAGTCATATGGAAGTGAGGAAAAACAAACAAAAATAAAAAGTCATATGGGATGGCTCAAAGGGACTTGCGTACAGAGTCCTTCGGGACATTCGTTCAAAATGGAACGATAGAGGGAAGCTGAGTGAGCATGGCCCCTGTGCATGAAAGCATGACATGCGTAAATCGAGGAATGGCACAAATAAAAAAGAAAAAAAGAAAAAAAGGATACGTGTACAGAGAGGTCCATCGGCTAATACCAACCTGCCCATATACGACCTTCTGGATCGACAGTGAGCTCCACCCGCCCGTCTTTGACTAAGAACGACAACGAGAACACATTTTCGACCGTTTGACTGAATGAACGTCGATTGTTGATCAGCCGAGAAGCCATTATTGGTTGCCGGAACCGCCTCAAGATATTGAACATGGTCTCGATGTTCGCATCAGTCTCCTTCTTCATATTCTCCTGATTTGTTTCCAACATCTGAGAGAGCCAAATTGGTAAAATTCAGTTGTCGCAAAACACCAATTAATATATATATATTATATATCGTCAAATATTATATATATCGTACATTATATTCAATTTTAAAATTAATAATATTAAATATTTTGAAATTGATAAATTTCAGTTGTCGTAAAATGCAAAAAAAAAAAAAGACAATTAAATTATTAAAATAATAAAAATAATAAAATATATATTAAAACGAGTCCTTCGGGACTTCTGTTAACTATACAGAGACGTGCAAGGAATCAGACAAAATGAGAACACCAATAAACCAGATTGTGAGATCTCACAGAAGACCAGACATAAATTGAGCCGAGTTGAAAGCAGAAAATCAAAGGGAAATGCACAAGAAGCGAGGAAATACACCGGAGTCTCTTGATAAAGAAAGCCTTTCCACCGCCTCCAATCATGAAAAACAACCACAATGTCGTACTCCAATTGGCGCCCTGAGCGCCCTTCCTACTCCCTAGCTCCTACAATTCTAGCCTACGTACATGTCAGCACTCTGTCCACATTCCATCGCCCAATGCTGCTTGAAGACAGTGCTCGTGCAGGGCTCCTTTGTCATCCCCAGGTAAATGGCGTTGACTCGCTGCCTCCCTTCCTTCTCCCTGCAACATCCACACCTCCAACACCTAGCATACCAGAGCCTAGCCGGTATGGCTAGCGCTCACCTTGCACTCTGCCACCACAGCAGCTTCTCCCTTCGGCCACTACCGCTAAGCTACCACTTGCGCAGCGCTGCCGCAATGCCAAATGGCCGAACGTACTGAATGCCCGGCCTCCCAGGCTTTAGGCCTCGATGAGGCGGCCACGGTCAGGCCCTGTCCAGTCCCACTCGGCCGTTCCTCAGGCCTACTGGGTCTGTGTGCAGATCCCAGCCTCTACAACCAACTCATGGGCTGGGCCCATACGTTACTTGCAGAGGTTGGCTACTGCCAACCACTTTGGGGGCCCTGGCAGGCCTTCACATAGGGCCGCCCTGAATATAACAGGCCCGCCTTCACTTAGGGCGGCCC